AATAAGAGTAGCGGACTCACAAACAAGCATGTTTGTACGGCAACAATCGGAAACAGCAACACCTAACAACAAAACAAGGGTTTTAGCTCCATTGGAAATTTTCCAAGGTGCACATCGGTCCGCGATTTTCACACAGCTTTCAACCTTACAACAAAATTTTGCAGGCAACAAGCAGAAGTCGTATAAAATCATAAGAATGAACATGTTCGCGGTATAGGGCAAGCTGAAGCCAGACGTAGAAAATAAAAAAGGCGTAATCCTGGCGGTGGTCAAGCTTACGACCGTTCAAGTGACTAAGCTGCCGTTGTAGCATAAGATAGGAAGGATCTGCTTGCAAAGCCTGGGCTAACAGGGGACTTCTACATAAGTGCCAGAGGAAGAACTTTCAGTAACAAGCTGTATGTGCGAAATATACACTTGATGAAAGGTCGAGTGTATTCATAAGAGAAAGGCCCATCTACTCCTCAGAGAGGATGTTACGTAAGGACTGTAAGAGCAAGGGTTCAGTTGAAAAGAAATCCCTGGCCGTGGGTTTCGAGGGGCTTTGTGCCTGATTGGAGGTAAACTATTAGTCGTAAAATAATTCTGACTCTGACTCTGTGAAGTCAGTTGAATGAAGTGAAGAGTAGTTGGTTGGTAAGCGAATCAGTCATTCTGTTAGTCGAGAGTTGCTGTAGCTGAGGCCGCAAACATGTCGGGAACCCAGAGTAAGGGGGACACCTGCCGTTGGAAGCCGCTATTGAGTAACGAAAAGGGAAGACTGAAGAGATTAATTATAGCGATATTTGGAATGCGTAAGTCCTTGAGATCGTCGTAGTTACGTTCACTGAGTGTTCAATAAATCCGAGTACCAATCCAAACCCCCGTCTATAGTAACACTAAAATCGTGATAACATGTTGTCAGTGTGCTGTCACAAAATCATTGGCAAGAAAACTCATTTGGGCTTCATTTCATTGGCACTGAACTCAGCTAAGAGGAGAACGAGCAGAATACTACTGGCCACGAAGATCAAAGGCGAGACAAGAAAAGGATCTGACTAAAGAACTCGTCTGATTCCTTGTAAAAATTTCTGTAAAATTTATAGAATTTCATATTTAAGTACCTTTACACAGACAATATAAGGCAAAATAATGAAATAAATTGTTACTTACAAATATCAGTGTAAAATTGGTAAAGTTTTCTCTGTGCTTAATTAATTAAACACTATACCATGAAGACGTATGGGGGGGTCGAGGTACAGCTCCACCATTCGTCACCTCTGCACTAGATGAAGATGAGTGGTGAGTTTCATGCACCGGTCACTTTACCCCCGCGGAAATAACCTCCTTATAAATTCGAAAATAGGCTTTTTGGGGCCCAGATTTGGGATGTACGTTGCGGAGAAGAGAAAAACTTTGCCCTGCCTCGATTCGAACAACTGCCGTCCAAGCCCTAGCCCGTCGTTCTACTGACTAAGTATTATGTTTTGTTTTGTGATTTTATAGATATGGCTTATTCAATTTTATTTGTCCGTTTTACATTCCACTGATTGGTTTGATGAAAGGTCATCGAAACAGGGCGACGATGACAGTAGCCGCGCGGTCTAAGGCATGAACAGTCTTCGCCTGCTCGAACATTGGGATCGTGGGTTCGGATCTCACACGAGGCACGGGTGTCTGTTTGTGTTTAGTCTGTGTATGTGTTAGGTATGCCGGTCACGGTAGCCGAGCGGTCTTCGCTCGCTCGGAAGCCGGGATCGTGGGTTCGAATCTCACTTAGGGCATGGATGTTTGTGTGCGTTTTTCTGTGTTTGTGTACAGGTAGAGGCCTTGCGACGAGCTGATCACCCGCCCAAGGAGTCCTACCGAATGTGTAAGATCTAGAAAAACCGAAGTGAACGGAGAAGTTCATGGAGGTAGGCCTAGGCCCAAATTGGGGCTGTAGCGCCACAGAAAAAAAAATGTGTTAGGTGGCGGCCTTGCGACGGGCTGATCCCCCGTCCAAGGAGTCCTACCAACTTCCTTAGATTAAGAAACTGAAGTGAAACGAAATGTTATACGGATGCCCTATGTTTCAAGTGGGAGCAACAGAAGAAGAAGAAGAAGAAGAAGAAGGAGGAGGAGGAGGAGGAGTAGTGGGAGAGGCAGGACGCCGAGACGGAAAATGTTACTGGAGAAGATGGAAATATTTGAAGCTGGAACCAGGACGATTGGTTATACCATGAAACGCAGGAGGCCTGTGAGTCACTGAAGATATGAACTCCACTTGCAGCTGTCGACTCCAGCTTGCCATAATGGAATAAGTTATAATTGTAAACACAGATACAGTTAAAGGTAAATCAAAACTAAAGCTTTCAATCTTAACACAAAACAGAATTCAGTGCTAATGCACACGAGTTATCTGAATCGACGACTGAGTTACCTCTAACGCACTGTCTCCGACAAAACAGTTTCCCATTTATCGGAAATAGTTCCGGAAACGGGGCGAGGCATTGGTGTGAGGGATGGAGGGGAAAATAACTGCACTTCAAACTCAATTGTACAACTGCACAAGAAATCTAATCACTAAACCAATAGCTGCAGAAGCCCTATCCTGGGCTGTCACACACAGACAGTGACACATCTATTAACCTGGGCAAGCTTTCGCGGGGCTAAATATCATTCACAGACTAATATAGGTAAAATAAAAATAGGAATTTTTTAGGGCGGAAAAATTCAGGGAACAAGTCCTCCGGGAGGGACTTTAAGCCGTGGGTCCCGTGTCGTAGTTTTACGGCACGTAAAAGAACCTCATGTCCCAAGGGGACCACTGAGCCAAATTCAGGACATTTCCCGCCCAACAGTAGTCTCTAACGCCTCTGGTAGAGGGGGGAAGCATCGAGATACCGCTGAGCCAGTAGAGGCCGAACTCGCTGGCAGAGTCGGGACTGATGGCACTCACCAGTACCGGTAGGGAATAGAGACTGGTAGAATATCATAGGGGGACGCACAATGGACCAACAGTTGGTCTAAGTGAATGGGGAAACCCACCCTCTCCAATACAATACAATACAATATAGGAAAAGGTAAAGTTCTCCTTGTGCTTAACCAAATTAAGAACTACGTCATGAAGGCGTATGTGGGAGTGGTTGTATGGAACCATGCTTTCTCGACCTCGGCACTAGTTAGAGGTGAGTGGTCAGCTTCACGCCCCGGCCACTGTACCGCTTTACCTCCGGGAAAGAGCCCCATCCCCGGTACCCATTTGATAGAGGTTTGGGTGGGCCCCAGAACCGGTCTGAACGACATAAAAAAAAAGAAAATCTTGACCATACCGGGACTCGAAATCCGAATCCTTTGCCATCCAGTCCTTAGTCCATCGCAATATCGAAAACGAGTCTCAAGTTTTGTATACATGGAACGCATCCCATTTAAATACGTGATGATTCGGCTTTCATTTACGCTGTTTCGATATACGCTGGCATCCCCAGGAACTTAACATGGTTCTACTGTATTTATTCTCCAAAAGGTCCAGTTCTTCTAAATGTATAGCGACTGGCTACGAGCTTTATGACCAAGAGGTCGGAGTATAACTCCCAGTAGGTTCACTTCTCCATGTCGTCCAGACCGACTCTGAGGTACACTTAACCTCTTATACAATGAGTACAGGGGGCTCTCTTCCGGGAGTAAAGCGACCGGGGCGTGAAGCTGACCACTCACCTCCAACTAGTGACGAGGTCAAGAAAATGTGGATATATACATCCACTCCCACATACGTATTCATGGAGTAGTGCTTAATTAATTTTTTATTTTTTTATTGCTAGTGGGGTGGGACTAAGTCCCTTGCACTGAGGCCACTTCTAGCCTATTGTACCAGCTCCAGATGATAGGTGAGGGTGATTGTGGAACAATTGGTGGAATGAAGATTGGCAGGGGAAACCGAAGTACTCGGGGAAAACCTGCCCCAGCGCCACTTTGTCCACCACAAATCCCACTTCACCAGACCCGGGATCGAACCCGGGCCGCCGCGGTTGGAAGCCAGAGACTAACCGCTTGAGCTATGGCGCGGTCCAGCTTAATTAGTTAAGTACAGGTACAACTTTACCTTTTACCAGTTCTACTAATAATTTTAGGGAAAGTGTGAACAGATTTTCATGTATTCATTTTCCAGGCATGTTAATAAAACAAACTGAATCCTGACAGCTTTTTTATGCAAAACTTTACAAAGTACATAACCACGTCATCCAGCGAATATTATCTCGATAGTGTTCCCAAAGCCGACACCTGACATATACATCAGTGATATCCAAATACCACCCAAAGCAGAAATAAAATACCTAGGTATGACTATAGACAGCAAATTAACATGGAAGCAGCATGTAGTCAAGAAACGAAAGCAAGTAGACTTAACCATTAAACAGTTAAACTGGCTAATAGACAAAATATCAAAGTTAACAATTGAAAATAAAATTCTGATCTGTAAGACTATAATCATACCTATTTGGACATATGGCCTGGAATTATTGGACTGCGCCAGCAAATCTAATATAGCAATAATCCAAAGAAGCCAATCTAAGATCCCACGAATGACAGTCGACGCACCACGGTACGTCTCCAACGCAACTCTCCACACCGATCTCGGTATATCTTCTGTACAAGACGTCATCCAACAAAAAAGCAACAGACATCACAACAAAATCATAACTCATAAAAACCCACTCCTAAAGACGCTATCGACAAGAGAGGGCAACAGACGACTCAAACGAAACTGGCCAATTGACCTGATTTGAATTACTGAGAATTCGCCTCTGGACGACTCCTCATCAAGTCATCTAAACATCCACAACATTAGCTTATAGAATGTATATGCTGAGTGCTGATTAAACAAATAAATAATAAAAAACTAGTGCTCCCAGTTGGTGCACAGTTTATGAGTCAAATTATTTAACTGTGAGACAAGGTTGGATCATGACAGGCGGTACAACATAGAAGCAGTGACACCTAGCGTCGTGACCTAAATACCGAAGGAGTGAGGTACTCACCGACGACGCTGAGGAGGACGTAGAAGACGAGCGGCGGGTGGGAGGACACTTGACACTCATAGTTTCCTTCATCACGTTCGTTGGCGAACTGAATATGGAGACGCCAGTCATTGGGATGCTGGTAGTTGAGCGAGTAACGGGAGTCACTCGAGTATGTGTGCAGACCGTACGTGATGAGATGCAGCTCGTTGTCCCTGCGACGGGCCCAAGATACCTGCACAAACACAATAGCTTTACAGACCTCACGCCTGTCAATTCAGTTCAGTTATAAGTCTATTTAACAAGGCAACAAATGTGAAGTGTCTCGACCGCTGCTGTGGTCTAGTGGTAAGAGTTCTTGGCTACAGATCCAGAGGTCCTGGGTTCGATTCCCGGCCTTCCCAGATTTTTTTCTGAGAAGTAGTGGGTCTGGAAAGAGGTCCACCCAGCCTCGTGAGGATAATTGAGGAGCTATTTCAAGGAAATAGAGGCTCCGGTCTAGAAAACCGAAATTAACGTCCGTGGGGATCCGTTGCGCCGACCACGCGACACCCTCTATTCGTAATTTTGGTACTAACTTCGCCGACAAGCGGCGGTCGCTCGGTCGGTCGGTATAGTTCGCTTGCGGACTAAAATCACGGAGTTTGATTTTGTTTCTCTTGTTTCACATGATACTACATCCTAAACCTGATTTCATAACTCCTCTACGTGCGTCTTTGTCGTGTCACTGGCGACCTCCGAAGACTAATGCAATTCTGTATCAGTTCTCTCACGTATGTCCCCTTCAACTTGCTTATGCATTAAGCGTTGCCGTATTGTCAGACGCAGACGCAATACAGACAGCGATTTTAATAAAATTTCATAACCAGAAAATTTGAAATGTTAAGTCAGGTGATCTGGGAGGACGTGAAATTGACCTAACATAAACAATTATTTGCCAGGTTAATTTCATGAAGGATATGTGATTTACTAAACGAATGAGTTACCAACGACAAGTATGGCGTCAGAGAGTGACGAAAAAGATGACATCCTGCACAAGTCAACGGCAGTTCGAAGATTTGATAAAAGCTCAGTAATATGTTTTGAAGTCATCAAATATATAATTAACTGTTACTTATCATTTGTAATACAGCTTCGTTCAGTGAGCTTAGTGATCGTGGTTATTTTGCAAAAGTATTTCTATACTGCCGCAAGTTCAGATAATGGAACCGAGCAATATAGCTAAGCGGTATTATTATTAGTGTCTATGTACCCAATTTGAATTCGGCCGATGAATTCTTATTAAGTTTGTCATCGCCCTCAGGGCGCGTCTGATTTCTCTGACACTTCTCCATTTCACTATTCACGGTCAGATTGTTATAATAGCACTTCATATAAATTAATTTCTGAGGTAGATACTGCGTTATTTAATAGGCCAATAACCTTTTACGTATTAAATTCTTTTTTTAATCATAACCATCAACAAAACTCAAAGAGTTGTATGAAAATATCTTGAATGGATACAATAGATATTAATGTACATTTTATTATTTATTACAAATAGAGCTATGCTCTATGTTTCGGCCACAATTCGGTCATAATCAGGTACGTAAATGTACCTTTTATTTACCCCACTTTTCGGGCCGAGCCATAGCTCAAGCGGTTAGTCGCTGGCATTCCATCGCGGCGGTCCGGGTTCGATCCCGTGTCTGGTAAAGTGGGATTTGTTGTGGAAAAGTGGCGCTGGGGCAGGTTTCCTTCAAGTACTTCGGTTTCCCCTGCCAATCTTCATTCCACCAATTGCTCCACAATCACCCTCACCTATTACCTGGGTCTGGTACAATAGGCCAGAAGTGGCCGCAGTATAAGGGACTTAGTCCCACCCCACTAGCATTAAAAAAAATTACCTCACCTTTCATTATTCTGAGTTTTGTCGAATGTCTGTGTTAAATTCATCTTGCAGTAAAATATGACGATACTAAGTGATGTAATGTTCCATGAAAATACGCAAAAATATATAGGATTTCTATCTTTGTATCCTGTCTTTACTTATTTAGAAATGGCTAATCTGTTAGACTTCCTGGTGCTTTAGGAGTCCCCTTATAGACGAAACTATTCCATTAAAATGTCTAGCTTACGCTTCTATTTGCTTAATTCGAATTGTTTACGAAGCTGAAACGGAGCGAGATTTCATCCAGGTAGAAGCAAACCGGGCGTCAGACTGAGCAAACAAGTGTCTCCCCCTGCAAAGCACAGACTCTCTTACTATCATTTACTCCACTAACTTAATTCACTGTATCAGGTTTTTATTTTGAGGAGAAAATACGGTTAATGAGTTAAGACGAGTGGAACGAAGAGCCCTGCCTTTCTGCCATGCTCAACATTGTCACTTTTTCTCTTCCGTTTTATAAATCTCTTTCTCATTTCCTCTCTTTCTTATTCATTTGGAAAATAATTTCTATGCTCATGCTCTTGTCTCTTGATTCTCTTCCGTCGTGCACTGCTGCAGCAACTCAAGGCGTTATTACAGTCAAGCAGTCGAGCTAGAAAATTCAAGAGAATTAGCTGTCTGTGAATTTGGGGATCAAGTGTGGACACTGAACCAGAGGTAGAGAAGAAAGGGAAATAAGGGAGTAAAATTAGGACAAAAGCAAAAAGTAAGACTTTCTCTTTAACTGAGGAAACAAAATATTAGTTGGAAAGGAAGGGAGGAAACACGGAATTGACCCATAGGTTGAGAGGCTTTAGACAGCCTCTACAGTATGACGTCTTTGTGTGACTTTCAATATTGTTATACAGCAGCAGTAAAAATACCTCGATTGGCCACGGCCACTTCTTTCAATATCGTTTCCAGTTCAAAAGTCATTTTATCATCCAACGGAATTTAGTCCTGAAACCGAAACCGTAGTTAAATGATCTTTGAAAACAGCTGTGCGACCATATTCGTCTAAAACATGACATCTATGTAAACTGCGGAAATAGAACCCTACACAAACGTTAAAAAGTGGCAGACATGGCGAGGGATGGGCAATAGAAGCCAGAGACGTTCAGGATGAAAACTGGAAAAACAGGAAGAAATGAAAATTTTAACGTGATACACAGCTTCCTCTAACAGAAATGAGTATCAGGAATCTTCCTGTGGGGTAAAAGGTGGCCGGCGTGTAAGGCTGACAACCTTATCGCTATCTGTGAGCCGATTGTCTAGAAAACGTGGGAGCCTCGGTGTCGCAAAACCCTATGGACCTCCACGGCCTCTTGAAGTGATAGATTTACTTTACGAAAGAAAATATTTTGATGAAAATTAATTATTTTATTTAAAGATAATTATTCCTTAAACAAAACAGTGTTATAAACGAACAAGGTTAAATATATAAATGTCTCAGCCACATAAAGTTATTGATTAGACTGAAAGAAACTGTGATATTTAACAAATATTTCTTCATAAGACATATATTTCGAGGTCGATATCAAAATTATGTTCATGGATGTCTATGAAAGAACTGTGTAAATATATGATACGCTACATTATTCAGTAATAACCTAAAATTCTATATATTTTCTTATTTCTTCCTGGAGCGCACTACAATGGATATCAGGAATAACAATGCCAGAAAATCTCTCTTCTAATATCCTGTTCGTTACAAGAAACATTCTTACAATTTCTCTTGAGGTTTCATCAGCATGAGATCTCTTCTGCAGCCGAGCTTCACTGAACAGTCATGTTTGTATGAGGCAATGACGCAACTATCCACTTAATCTAGAAGCGCCTTGCCTTTTGTGCTTCATTAGAATGCTCAAGAGAACCGGCCAACAAATTATATACTGAGCTAGATGAATACGGTCCACATTTCCACATTATCATCCTGTCATTTTTGCCGCGCCATAGCTCAAGCGGTTAGTCGCTGCCTTCCCACCGCGGCAGCCCGGGTTCGATTCCGGGTCTGGTCAAGTTGGATTTGTGGTGGGCAAAGTGAAGCTGGAGCGGGTTTGCTCCGAGTACTTCGGTTTCTCCTGCCAATATTCATTCAATCTTCATTCCACCAAATTCTCCATCATTATAATCACCCGGGTCAGGCTACAATAGGCCAATCAGTGGCCGCTGTGCCGAGTGGATCCAGTTAGGCTCCACCCCCCACTAAGCGAATTAAAAAAAAATCCTCTCATCTATGAATATTTATTTCATGAGGTCTATTTTTAAATGGTGCCACTAAACACAGGACACACAAACAGAGAATACACGCATACACACATCAAACATCCATGCCGTGTGTGGAATTCGAACCCACGATCCCTGCTTCCGAGAGGGCGAAGACAGTACATGCCTCAGACTGTTCGAATACCGTGACCGGCAAATACCTAGAGATTGCATCTGAAATATGGAAACATAAATATACGAATACAACTAAATACAGCAAAGAAATTCAATTACATTGTCAAGGTACAGCTATGATTAGGCAGTCCGGTTGGTATGTTTAAATATCTGTTGCAGGTTTAGTGATATTCTCCAATATACAGAGTAAACGAGCAGTTGTAAGAGCAGACAACTTATTATATATATCTGTTTTCTTACTAAACACGAATGAAAGGACGTTTTCTGTAAACACCATTTCAGGCCATCAAAATATTTATTCGACGAATTAATGGTGAAACAAACCTCAATCCATCTAAACATTCGAGAAATATTAAACAAAACAAACTCAGTGGTTTTTAGTCCGCAAGCGAATTATACCGACCGATCTACCGCCGCTTGTCGGCGAAGTTAGTGCAAAATTTAGCGGCTAGAGCGTGTCGCGTGGTCAGCGCAACATATTTAATCTATGAGCTTTAAGATAGAACAGCAGGACTGTAGAAGGAGCCTGCAATAGGACATTCAGCGAGGTAATTATAAAATAATTGTAAAAGTTTTGAAAATATTCCGCGGCGAAAGGTTTGTAACGACAGTAACTACAGAGCAAGAAGTGACAGAGGAAGAACACACAGGGGACCCAGGCTTTACAGCAAAGGAGACCTGGCTTCATGGAAGGGGGTGAAGGGGCACATGACTTCCTGGCGCTGTCGATGTAGGACACAACAGAGATACAGAATTGGAACAGGGAATTGTAAATGGTGCCACCGTACAGTTGCCGAATGGAGCATAGTGGTAATGCTCTAAACTCCTACTCAGGAAGTGAACTTTTCCAATCTCCGCCGGGACACTGATTTTCCTGACTGAAATTCTTCGAATTTTTCTTCAGTTTCTCTCACGAAATTGCTGTA